CACAAGTAGTCAAGATCTAAACAGCGCCTGTATTTCAGTGATTTAACATTACTTTTCCTCTCACAAATGACATTTCAGYCTTCAGCAAAGGCTAAATAAAAACAAAAAAGAATGATGCAGCAGATTGTAGTATATGACTGTTATTTTATCATACATCAGCTTTCTTCCAGCAAATAAGGAATTGGTTACAGAGCAAATTAGTACCTTATTAGCTGTAATTATGTGAACTAGCAAGGCAGGTGCGATGCCTTCCTACCTGACTCGGTTTGCTCAGCAGTGCTCCCTGTGCTGAGCGCGGCAGCAGCTGGGTGCACCGCTCTATTTCAACAGGTCCCCACCTGCTACCGAGTGACTTCCAAGAGAAAAAGAATCCCAGGCACAGAAGAGGTAAATGGAGCAGCAGTTGTGAGCCCAGCCAGCTGGGAACCTTTCAGGTTTCTATGAGACTGAGATACAAGACGTCTGTGAAGGCTGTAACGAACAACCTGGCCTGTTCTTACCTTTTAGCTGTAGTTTTTAAAATGAGCTAGCTTTTAATATTTATCACTCCATCCTTCTGGGGAGTGTTAACTTGAGATGCTTCAGCGGTCTGTAGGGTAACCTCCCCTTTTTTGTGGCCCTGATCTATCCTTTTGCAGTATTAATTTTAATTCAAGGAAGCAAGGTATTTCAGTGACTTTTTTTTATTCCTATAGCAACAGGCTAGTGCACTACTTGAAACGGACGAGGAGTACTCTGTTTTCCAGCTTTGTTTCTGAAGAGTTTCCAAATGAGTTGCAAGTGTTCTTGTCATGTTCCCTGAACTTTCCTAGCCATGTATTTGGCTCCAGTATTTCACCTGCTCTACACCAAGGACACCATATCTATCAGCCACTGTTCATCTTCACTCTTATACAAGCACATCAAGATGGAAATACATAACTAATCTATCAGCCTGGTACATTAAAGACATGCAAATGTCAGAAGGTTTTAAAAGAGTCCAGAGCAAGATTGTGTATATATTCARAAAACAGACAGCTATTTAACACTTATTTTTTGAGGGAGTGTAACTATGCCCTTAATGGAAAACTAGYCAACAGCAGGGTAGACACTGCAGTAATTCAACAACTGCCCTGGAAATTCTGCATTTTAGTTCAAACAGGAACACAAGAGCATATGCAGGTATTCTCCTTTAGGCCTCCTATTTGTCTTTTGACATACGAGGTGCACTGTGAGCGTATAAAGTCTCCTTTTCTACATCGCTACAACATATGCCRAAAATTAGGTGGGTTTAGTCTCTCATTCTGCACTCAAATATAGYTACCACGAAACATGTGACCACTACAAGTAAACAAAAATTCAAGTTCTTCTCAGCTGTGTGCTTATTACTACTCTTGAACAAGTTCCATTGCCAACAAGTACAACCATTATCTTCTATATGAGAAAGCATCGTTTATACCAGTACTATGTATTTCAGCACATACTCCTCCCTCCTTATAACCTAGCCTGACCTTAGAATACAGAAATAACTATGTATACATAGAACATAAAAATGGAAGAGGAACAACCAACGGAAAAAAGAGCAAACAGCTGACGTGCATAAACGACATTTTAATAAAGTCAAAGAAAAAAGAAGTATTAACYGTGTGAACACAGTTACTTAGGCTGGAGCACTAAGAGTGGGACTGCAGAGCTCTGTGTTTAAGATAGCTGGACATTCACAGCACTGCAAACCAAGGCTGCGGCAACAACCGGGCAACAACTCCAAAGTTTTGCTAGAGTTCAGCCATCAGACTATTCTGAAAACATCATTCACATCCATACCTAGCAGCCTGCAGGAAATGTGGGATGCATCAATCCATCTCTGTCTGCTGAATCTTCCTGAAAAATTCCTACAAGTCAAGCTCTGGCCTCTACAATTACTATTATAAATAGTATCTGCTCAAAGGCAAGTTATTTTCACAGAGTTTATATGGTATAAAGCTATACTGGCTGATGTTGAATATTACAACAAATTTCTTCCTTCAAAAATTCAAAGCTAAGCTGGGAAAGGCAGTTATCAATGTCTTCTCTTGAGAGCAAAAGCCTGTTTTTTTTTTTTTTGTTGTTTGTTTGTTTTTTTAAGGGAAATATGCTCTTATCCATAAAAAAATCCAGACTCCTGCATATTTTTTTCTTATTTTACACTCAACAATTATCACTTTACTATTTTATTCTAGTGGAATAAACAGATAGGACTGTCAGCTTTTAAATTACTGGCTTTCCAATGAGTGCATAGCTCACATATCTGTCCCTCACAATTCAGTAAGTTTCACAATTATTCTTTACATTCTACACATTGTTTTTCTCTGCTTACTACTATTAGCACATCTCACATAAACATGAGGGAAAAATCAAAACTACCAGAGGTGAAAACTTTACTAAAATAACTGCAATTTATTTTGCTTGCTTATCATTAGAACAACAGAGAACATCTGTTCAAAAAAAGAATTTGTAGTTTCAGTTTCAGGTTTAAAAAAAAGACAACCTAAAGAGAGACGTAATTAGTATAAAAGAGACAGGCAGTTAGACACAAAATAAAAATGCAAACCCTAGTAATTCTCACCTAAGAAGCCTCAGMAAATATGTATGCTATCATTCTGTGTGCCTAAGACCCCTGTCTTAGAGATGCCACGATCATTCTTTCTGTCTGGTCTCTCCATTGCAAGATCTCCASAATAGATGAACAACTATACTTTAGTTATTTTTTCCGTACAAAGAAATCTAACATTACTTTAGCACAAGGCATCGTTAAACTGATAAAACTGGATGCTAGGCAAGAGTGATGCACACCAGGGCAAAGCAGCATTTGTTTATTCCTCCTTTTAATAATTAAACTTCTTACACACTAGTTCCACACGCGTTCCAATACAGTCTTTTTGGGGAGGCAGAATACTCGCTAGCTTGACATCTTTACAGTGTAATGCCCACAAATTCAGCCAATTTAGCACACAATCACATGGAGAGGGGAGGAGAAGATCAAAGATCATCCCTTCTATCCCATCTTCCTCCAGGCAAGCAATCCTGACAGGTATCTGTCTCGTCATGCCTACTTTACTGTAGGGCAACTATTCAGGTGAGCACAAAAGGGAATGTGCGTAAGCATTAGCCTTAGAATTTATCCTCACATTCAACAGGTGGAAGCACACAGCACTGAGTAGCTGCTCACTTGATTAGGATGTCATGCCAAGGTTCATCTGAAAAAACGGGATGACAAGAATATAGTCTAAAAACTGTCTGAAAGAGAAATATAATATTATTTTGGCAGCAAGATGGATATAGGTAGACCTATACATACTCGGAATACATACTCATAATAGAATGCCAGACAGAAAAAGCATTCCTCAACCTATTCATTATTAATCAGCAAACTTATTTTAGATGCAATGCACTGTCAAAGAACTCACAACTTAGCAGCTTTATTTCCCGTTACTCTGCACTCCTGAACATGCAGTTTTAAAATATTTCTTTTGTACCCAAAACAAACTACCTTCATTAGGTTAATAAAAAAAGAAAAAAAACGGAGCAGATCCCTTCGATAAATTCAAATTAGAACTCATAGCTGAGATAGACATCTACTTCACTATGCACTGTACCAAACTGAACTGCCTCCTCTGAGGGGCCTGGCTTCCTGCAGGGTGCCTGCTTCCTAGGATGGGCACCTCTTCCAAAGGAAACAAAGATCCAGCCCACAGGCAGCAATGCTCCTCCTGCACCGAATGCTATTCATGGGTCTGTGACAAACAAGTTATAAATTAAAATTATGTAACAATACTATTTCCATATTGAATCCACTTAGTAGTGTTCAAGTCCTGATTTTGCCAAATGTATCTCAAACATATTTTAGAAGAGGTTCAAACACATTTTTCACACATGCTAGACTGGAAGACGGAGAGTCTTAGTGAAGACTTCAGTGCAGCCAAGCATCCAAAAACATTTGGGAATCCTATAAATACAGGATAGTTGTGTCTGCCTGAACACATGGAAGTGGTCTAGTCTCCCACACAGGAACCACAAGCAAGTTGCAGGAGGAGTAAAAATATCACTGGTCTGCCCAAATCGCCATTACCATGTGGAGGCCCTTGGCCTCCTCTCTAGGGACCKGTCTTCCCCCCAAACCAAAGTTCCCTTCCTTGAGATGCTACAACATTGACTCCTGAAATCCCAGTGTCCTTCCCACTGCCCCCAAACCCCAAGCCCRCTCTAGCGCATACCCCTGCCTGCAGCAGCATCGCTGTCCCCATCCCCAGCAACGCCTCTGTCCCATCTCAACACCGTGACAACCACCTTCCTGACCCAGCAATGTCCCTCCTGCACCCCACACGTCCCTTCCACACTGCAAATGCTCAGGAGCTCTCCCAGATCCATGAATGCTCTGTAGAAGCACTCAACAAAACCGTGTCCTTTCAGGTACCCTCTCCCCAGCGTCCCCACAACCACCGGTGTCCCCAATACGTCCAGGGCCTCCTCAAGCATTATGTCCCTAGTGTCTCCTTCATCACTTCCTCCTGTGTCCTCTCGCCACCTCCATGTAAAGCACCTCTCTCCAAYGTCCCCATCACCACCAGTGTCCCCACCACCTCCAGCACCTCCTCGGTCTCCTCTCTCTAACGTCCCCACCACCACTAGCACCTCCTGGGGTGTCCCCACCACCTACTCCAACACCCTGTGTCCCCACCATCACCAGTGTCCCCAACACCTTCTGGGACCTCCTCTTCCTAACGTCCTCACCACCATGAGCACCTCCGTGGGTGTCCCCAAGACCTCCACCACCTACTCCAGCACCCTCTCACCAGCATCCCCMAAATCACCAGTGTCCCCAGCACCTTCTGGGGGCCCCCTCTCACAGCGTCCCCCCCACCTCCAGCACCTCCTGGGTCCCCTCTCCCAGTGTCCCCACCACCTCCAGCACCTCCTCGGCTGACCCGCCAGCCCCAGCGCCCCCACTCTGCCCGGCAGCCCCTCGCCGTGTCCCCCCGCACCTCGCGGTCCTTGAGGCCCAGCAGCAGCACCTCCTCCATGAGCGTGAGCCGCGTTTCCTTGGAGTCGCCCTTCTCGTCGTCGCCCGGCTCGTCGCGGCGCCCCTCGTCCTCGGGGCCGCCGCCGGCGCCGCGCTCCTTGTCGGCGGCGGCGGCGCTGCGGGAGGCCTCGGTGCGGCGCTGCACCAGGCCCGAGCTGCGCTGGGTCAGGGAAGTCATGGCTGGCGGCGGGGCAGCGGCGCGGGCGGCAGCAGGAAGGGGAGGAGGCGAGGAAGGAGAAGCGGCGGGGCCGCTCCCGCCTCTGCCCTATCGGCGCCGAGGCTGCGGCGGCCCGGGGGGAGGCATGGGGAGCGGGCCGGGCCGCGGCGGAGCAGCAGGAACGGGAGCAGGAGGAGGAGGAGGAGCGGGAGGAAGCGCGGGCCGGCGTCCCCCCCGCCTCGGGCGGCCAAGCTGGCGGCGGCGCTTCGCCTCCAATATGGCGGCGCGGGCTGATGTCAGCGGAGGATGTGGCAGCGGCGGCAGGGGGAGGGCACCGGAAAGGGCCGCGGGTGGCGGGGCCGCGCCGGGCCGGGCCGGAGCAGGAGCCGCCGCYGCCGCCGCCGCCCCGGAGCGCCCCGTCCCCCTCAGCGCGGAGGCGCCCGCGGGAGCGCAGCGCCCTCCCGGGCGGCGCCGCGGGGCGCCCCGTTGTGTCCGCCCGGCCTGCGGGCGAAACGTCAGAGAAAACAGCAAAACAGGCGCAGAAACAACCAAGAAGGGAGGCGAGCGGCGGCAGCGGCCCGGGCTCGTCCGCCACCGAGGCGCATGTTGACACGCAGCCGTCATGTYCTCCCAAGTCCCCACTGTTGACACGCAGCCCTCGTGACCCCCCAAACCTCCCAGATCTAGCGAGGAAGGAACCAGGGCGCCCCGTAACCCGCCACACGTCAGCCGCACTGCTGGAAAGCCACAAGCGCCTCAGGGCTGCTCCACTTCCAGCCTAGAGGCCATCCGGTCACTGGGGTGAATCCATGCGGGGACACGGTGTCCAAGCCCGTGCTCCGCAGGAGTGGCCACAGGCCCAGCAAGGCTCCTTGAGGCACCTTTCCTAACCTTTAATGGTCCCTGAAGTCCTTTGTGAGCCCTTCTTTGTGGCCCTGTCCGCTGTAACACCTTCCATTTACACAGTGTTGGCACTGGCAGAGACACTCGTGTTGGAGGCARCGCGGCCTCTCCTCCCACTTGCTGTTCTTTGGTCAAAGAACATGAGAGAAGAGAGACCTCATAACCCATGGAATCCCATCCACGTTTCCTCGTGTGTTTTATGTCACAATGAAGGCGCTTATGATGCAGGCGCGGCCTGTGCCTTGTGTCCTGGGTTTGAGCTGTGCACTTGGCCGTACTGAGATGTGTATAAATACCCAGCTGTACTCTGTTTAGCAAGAGCTCCAAGTCATGTTCTAAGTGACCTTAGCGCCTGTTATTCACCATTTTCCCAATTCATACAAAATCTGCTAATGTGACTTTGTGATATTCCTTATTCAAGATCATTGAGGAAAGGGCACAGCAGAGAGTCTTAAGATCCTCTTAGGAGGATCTTCTTCCTCTTAAGAAGATCCCTTGGAGCACCTGAATCACTGACACGGGTGTCACAGGCTGTTCCCCTTCCATCTTTCAATGCCTGCCAGATTATTCAGGTCCATTTTATACCCTGTTTGCTGTTTTGATTTTTATCTTTCCCCCTTTTTTAAAGTTTTACCATACGAAGTCAAATGTCCAAACAAGACCTAAGGATGTTACATGAACATCCTTACATGTTCATCCTAAGGATGGACATGAACATTTTATCAAATAAAGATTTGCATGAAAAACAGATGCCACAACAGCATCACCAGATCTTTATTCTTTTCTGGGAATCTCTTTTCTGAAGCAGTCATTATATGCACATCTTTATTAGCACAATCCCTTATGAGCCATTCTGATACTTTGCCGAGACTGAGATGACAGGTGTCTAATGAGTTTTGGTTCATTCTTTTTACTTCCTCTTAATATCGTTATAATATTAGTCCTTTGGAACTTTCCTAGTGTTCCAAGATTTAGTGAAAATCATCATTAGAGATCAAAAGATGTAGTAAAAATCTCTTTTAAAAGCTTGTGTACAAATTATCCTAGTTTAGTGATTAAAAATTACCTAAGTTTACTATTGATGAGGTGTGCTGCGAAATTCTTTATGTTTGACACAGCACATACATTAGAAAGTAGTTATTTTTCTGACTTAAGAGTCTCACGTGTAGTTTTAATATTGACAGCATGAGATTTCCAGCCTCTCACTGACATTGCTGCTCTCAGTAATAACTTGGCTTTTTCCCTCAGCATATTACAGATGGTTGTATAATGGGCAATCATCTTTCAATATAATGCGGTTTGGAAACCTAAGGCTGTAAAATGCCATGTATTATCTTTTCTGTTTTATCAGTTGAAGAATGGACCAATTCAAGCTCTAAATATGCAATGGACATTGCTTTACAGTTAGGTATTACATGCTTACATGTGCACTAAACATATTAGCGATACTGCTGATGTTACCTGGGTTAATGACCCAAATAAAAATAATATGGTGCTAATAGTGCCCTTCCAGATGCCAGGTTYACATTTTTTTGGAAAAAAGCCTAATACCACAAATATTGTGTAAAATAGGGGTTATTCCTTCTCTTTAACAGGAACTGGATCAGTCTAATCTCTCCGTGTAACTAATTCTATCATTATGTAAAAATTTAAAGATTAACAAGTATACAACATATGCATAAATACAACTAAATTATATTCAAAAATATACGGTAGTTTTTAGAATTGCATGAGTTTGACTAATGGTGCGACTTCAGACTAGTACGTTTTTCATTACTAATTACAATTCTGTTTCTTTATCATTAAGTCAAATTAATAAACTCAGTGCRAATCAAATTAAAAATGCTTATAATTGAATTTAGAGCCAATTATGTATGTATGTATTTATTTATTTATTTATTAACATCAGTTAACATCAGCCCTGACAGACAGAGTGAACAGTTGCATCAAAAGGAGAACATGTTCTGGCTTCAGGTTTCATTGATGTTCAGCCTTCACACACTACTGAGAGCTGCTGTTTTATTGGACTTTACCTAATTTACCGAATCTCAACCTAAGAAATCCCTATCAGGGGATTCATCCCTATTAGGGATTAATAGACTGCATTGTGCCACAATCTTGTTATGTGCAATTTGTTTTGCGGTGCCAACTTGTATTTTAAAAATATTTCTGAGTCATAGGTGGCTTTTTAAGGAACTTAAAAGGCTGTAGCTGCCCCTGCCCTGTGGTTGGGAAGAGGCTGGTGCTTCACATCATCCATGTCATTTGAGTTGTCACTGGATACTAGGTACTGAATTCCCTTCTTCCCCCCATCACAATTACAGAGCCGTCCAGTCTGTGCGTAATGGGTGAAATCTTTGAGATACTGTATGAAGACACAATAATGTGTAAGGAAGGCCTGCAGTCCATAAAAAGTCTTTACTGGACTTGCTGGACCTCATAGCAGCCCCTCATTTAGATTCAAGCCTACAGTACCTGGCGGAATTTCTCTAACAGGAGCTGATGAGTCTTAGGTTATCTTCACTAGATGCTGTAAACTTCAAAAGTTGATACTTTTTTTTTTAACTGCTGATATAATAATAAATAAAAAGGAAAATACGAAGACTTGAATCTCAGACTCTTCCTTTGGGTTGTGTTAGCTGCACGTCTTGGGGTTTACTTAGCAGTGGAACCACAGCTTACTCCTGTACTTAACAGACTACATGGAAACTCAGGCACATCGGGATAGCAGCTAAAAGATTTTATTTAACACCTAAAACAGCTATTAACAGGTGTTTTAACTTGAATGTCACAGCTGTTTCTGATTAAGGCTAGAATGTGTAAAAGGCTCAACCTAATAGATGTTCTGTTCTCTGAAATTTCAGTGGGCAAATCCTTGTTCTACAGTCACAGAGTCACAACAAGACACTGCTAGGCAAGTTTCTCCCAGGAAGGATGATTAGATTAATTCCTTGCGGATGTTTTGAAATTGATAGCAAGAAAACAATTTCTGTTTTTGAAGGAAACAGGAGCTAGAAATAGGCTGCTAACTCTGAAACAACTTCACTACCCACTGGTTTCRCCCGTGAGGTTGGTTTACATTCCTACCTGTGTTTCACATTCCCTTTCAGTGCAAGAATTTGCCACTCCCCATTATGCCACTACAAACAAGGGTCAGGTGGAGCAGTTGCCTATATCCCTGAGAGGGTGTCAGTTAAAAATAAGAGTCCAAAAGAAACATTATTTTTAATCTGTATTACTGTGGTGATCAATTCAACAGGGCAGCCTCACAAACAGGGACAGCATCATTTTGTGAAGGAGCACTGAGCTGTCATGCAAAATGTAGAAACCAGTGGCCAGAAGCAAAGTGTCACAGGAATTCCTCAAGATCAGACCTTCATATCAYGAAACTTCCTGATTTTACCAGTTAGAACTGTACTGCTTAAGAGCTAGAGTAGAGATTAATGATAGAAATCCTTTTGAAGGAACAAAATGACTTGAGATTTGTTCTGTTCAATATTATCGATGTGACCTCCATGAGCAGGAAATGAAAATTCTTCCAGGAGGCCTCAAGATGAGGAGTACAGAATGTGACAGAAAGAAGACATTATTGGCAAGAGGAATGAATAGACCTTGATATTATAAGCAAAGAGAAATTAAAATTAATTATCATCTGACTATTGAAATTGTGTCTAATTCACAAAATATTCTCTAGCCTTTTCTTTCTTTTGGTTTCAGCCATACCTGTTTTACCTGTCCTGTTGTTCTGGTTACCACATATGTCCATTACTGGCTGTTCAGTCCTTCTGGAATTTTTCTGGTGATTTTAGGACTGAAATTTCCAAAACTAGCAAWGAATCTAAGTAAAAGTGACCCAGTGGAATGGCACTATCTCTATGTACAGCAAAGAGCTACCTTCACAGTTTTTAATGTCCGATAGTTAAACATTAAGTTACCACTTTACAATACAGAGATTTGGTAATACATGTTTTCTAGTAAGTCTCTTCTTTGGGATGATTTAAGGATGACGTTTTAGGCCACTCAAAAATGCAAGGAATTATTCCAGATTTGACCTAGACTGGTATAGGATAATATGAAGTTGCAAGTTACTTTCAATGGCACAGTACCAGCTGATGCTACCTAGCTCATTAAAAAAAAAAAAAAAAAAA